TCTGAAAAACCTAAACCATTGTCCGTAGTTAGGCTGGCCATGCACTCTTGAAATTTATCAGAAGATTTCTCTTGAGGTACATAGGCTGTTTTTAGGAACTTCACCAAGGCTTTTGCATGTGCCTCGGAACACAATAGTAATGCCAACATGGAGATCTTAGAGGGAGTTTGCCCCAATTGTTCAACTACATCGTAGTCGCTTTTCTTTATTATTTTTAAGATCTCCTCCATTTCCTTCTTGGAGGTCTCAGGGATAGTCAATGACTGAGCCTTCGTCCGGACAGGCTCAACCATAACATCTTTTCCTCGAGCCTCGGTTAACTCGGCAGCAGGAGTGTCAGTAAGAATGATTACAGGGGTTGTAATGGCTTTGTCAATTGGATTACTTGCAGAGATGCTTATGGGTGTAGGAGAAATCTTTGGAGCAGCTACAAGGATAATTACGGGTCCATAAACTGCTTTTGGGGGACAATTCCTAGAGAAAAGATCCTACCACTTCGGGTAATTTTGCTAGTTCTGACAATATTACTGATGTCAGAGTCTTCTTTCTTGGAATTTATCTCTTCGGCGGCCGGCCAGTCTTGCTTAATACCATGGTAATAGACATCCCCTCCATAATTCCATGGTATCGTTTTGTCTCATGTATATGGGACTGGCCCAGGCATTGTGATTATTAAAGGAGCTGCTTTCGGAACTGATGTAATTCTAATGGGTCTTTTGGTGGAGACCCTGGAAGAATTGGCGGAAATGGTAATGATAGAAACAACTTCAATAGGAATAGGTGGAACACGAGTCTTTTCAAACAAAATCTCTTTGTTATCTATCAGGCACGAAATGCCTGCCTTCAACAAAGGACAGCCAGTTGGTGAGGATAAGCAGAGATGGCAAACTTTATTACAACCCGGGAACACACCGGATTTCAACAAGTTTATCTTAATAGTCAGAAGTGGGGTCATGAGCTCATCAACTAAGGTAACAAACAAATCTTCTTCAATGGCATTAGTATTGTGGCCAGGTCTGGGAATAGGAGCAGAAATGACATTTGGCTTCTCGGGCGTATCAAACTAAATTTCTTTTTCTTCAATGAGGTCTTGTATTTTGTTCTTCAAGGCCCAACAGTTATTAGTATCGTGACCATGACTTTCGAAGTTTTATGTGCAATGGGCATTGGGATGATAATGAGGAGATGTTGTATTGGGGTTTTTCGGAGCTTCTTTCAAGGTTACCAAATTGGATCTTAGAAGATGCGATAATACTTGATATGGACTAATGTTGATTCTGGTGAATTGCCTGACTGGCCTTTCCACCCTTGGTTGATTATTTCTTTGTTGATCAGACGTAGGCTTTAGGATCATAATAGCCTCCACCATTGGTCAGCGTTCGGCCCTATCTTGGTTTCTTTGCGGATATACGACAACCACCTCTTTCTTTTCGATGAAGGGCTTCCTTACAGCTGTAGAGGAAGACGTGTCTTTCTGAATCTTTCCATTCTTTATACCAGCTTATATCCTCTCTTCGGTCAATATTATTTCAGTAAACCTTGCAGATGAACTTCTGATTAAATGATTGAAGAAGGGACCAGATAAGGTGTCTAAGAACATGTCTACCAATTCTCTCTCAGACTGAGGGGGTTGAACTCTTCCAGCCAAATCTCTCCATTTTTATGCATAGTCCTTGAAACCTTCATTGGAAACCATGGCCATACTCTGGAGTTGAGTACGGGTAGGCGCCAAATCAGCATTGTATTGATATTTCTTGTAGAAAGCTGCAGCAAGATCTTCCAAATTGTGAAAATTAGCCCTTTCTAGTTGGTAGAACCAGTCAAGTTGAGTCCCAGACAGACTGTCTTGGAAGAAATGCACCCATAAGTCTTTATCAACGGTATGGGGTTGAATTTTCATCACATATGATCGGAGATGCATTTTTGGGCATGACACTCCATCATATTTGGCAAATGTAGGCACTTTGAATTTCGGCGGAATCACAATCCACGACACTAGCCCCAATTCCTCAAAGTCCAAGCCTGGCACCTTTTGGATTTCCATCACGCTCAACCGCTCTTCAAGATGTTTATATTTGTCATCAGTCGGAGAGTATTATTCCTCATAGTAGTCCTCTTCTTCCTCCTCTTCTTCCGATTATGACGGGACAATTGTTTCCTTACCTTTCCCCTCTCCTTCATCGGATGTTGTTGCAAAGTCCAAAGTCCTTCTTGTCTGTCCATGAAATCTTCTTCCCATATTTAAGACTCTGGTTACCTTCTTTGTTTTCTTTTTCCTCTCTTCAGCCAGCAGAGTCTTCAACTCTTCTTTCCCCTTGGCTGGGGTCATGAGCAACTGTTGAAACTGCATATTCTGAGCTTGGAGATCTTACACGTTTGCTGGAGATCCATCTTACTGAAATAAACAGTAGAGAGATGAGTAGACTTGTTGCAAAAGACCTGCTTATGTTATGATGAATGATATATGCATATGTAATATTTTCAAGGATTTCAAAGATTCAAATTTTTTTTAGACAAAAAAGAAACACACGTTATATTAATAAGATAAAATTTGAGTACATCAATGCCTCTTGGGCAAAATAATACAAAAACTATAAGATAGAAAAGTAGTGCACATCCTCTTTGGTGCAATGTAGGCATTTAGAGTCTATTCCTCATGAAGTAGCCTAGTGAGTTCCAAAACCTTCTTCTCGCTTGCGTAGAATTGGGCTTCAAAAGTATCTCTCTCTCCTTTGAGTTGTATCCAATCCCTTTGGAGGTCTTCAAGAGATGTGGGCATGTCAGGATGTAGGATAATTTATGGAACGTCTCCCTCCATGACAGGCTCAATGATTACCGGGAGAATGGAGGGGTAAGGCATCATAAGACTCTGAGAGCGAGTTCGTACCCATTTGAGGTAAGGCTCAAGAGGGATGGAGTTCTTGTGCCCCAAAGTCTTGTTATCCACCTTGTTTAGCATCCTCCAAGCTTAGATAAATCTTTGGCGAAGACCTTGATCGTCATTGTCGTAGTCGAATACCAAACCTTGAATCAATATCTCATGCGGGCCATCCCTTCGGGCGTAACCAAAATGTCTTAAGGCTAAACATGGGTTGTAGGTGATACCCCCCCTAATGCCAAGTAAAGGGACATTAGGGAATTATCCATAACAGTCGAAAATGATAACATTCTCTTTGAATCGGGAGCACCAATGAATGTTTGAATGCTTGAGAGTCATCAACCTTTGTGATCACCTTGAACCTTGCTCATTCTTTAATACTGATTGGGGGAGATGAGAAATAAACCATCTTGCCAAGAGAGGAGTGCAACATATAAGAACACCTCTTTTTCTCATTGTGCGAGTGTGAAAAGAGTGTAGGATATCTCCTAGCAATGTAGGTACCGCGTTACGGGTTATGAAGATTTTAACGGTGTTGATATCTATGAGTTGGCCAGGGTTTGGAAACAAAACCATATGATAGATGAGGAGAGCCATAATTACTTCAAAGGCTTGCAAGTCTAAAGAATTCCAACAGCTTTGGGCTTTCTCAAACAGAAACTTTATTAGGAAGCCTTTGACACCACTCCTTGTTTCCCAATGAGTTGTGATATCAGATGAGTGCAAGTGTAGAGCTTGAGAAATCTCTTTTGGCTTTGGATATCTTTCTATACCGTTGAAGGATAGTTGATTGAGAATGGGAATCCTCAAGAGTTGGGATAATTCTTCCAAAGTAGGCACAAGTTGATAGTTGGGAAATGTGAAGCAATGGTGTCAAGGATCAAAGACCTGAAAGAGCACCTTCATCATGTCCTCATCTATGTTGGAGGTGACCAAGTTGTAATACCCTAAATTTGTCCTACCCTTTTACTTCCTATCTGGCTTACGCATTTTTGCACATATATAATTTCCATTAGGTCATCTAACACATCATGCATCATTAATGAATAAATTGGCATAAGATCATGGATCTCGAGGAATAAGGGTTGTTGTATGGCTTTAAGGCTCCCATCTTCACACAAGCTTGTTTCGGTTGATTTCTCCATTAATAATTTGTTTGAAGCTAGGTTTTCATTTCATGGACCTTATCATCATCAAGCTACGAGGCTATTCTTTTCTTCTCAATGTCAAGTTGCAAGGTTTTATGAGACGAAGCTAAAAATCAGGGTTTATACATTTTCATACTTGAGCTTGTCAGCATTCTACCTGAGGTTCATTCCATATCAAGGTATTCGCATGTCTCATCTTTCATATTCATCTGCAAAGAATCCCTCAGGGCATAGTCATTATCATCTATTGAGAAGGAGTCCAAGACGTCGTTATTCTAGTGCTCATATAGTCGAGACATGGTACAAGATGTTGATTGTGATCAAGGTGTCATTATTTCAAATGCTTGTTGCTTGACACACAAGTTTGGTTTATACTAAGGAATTGAATTGAATTAGGGATTCATTGAGGTTGTAATTTGATCGAAACTCGTTCATTAAGATTTGAAGAGGATTTGGAGTGAATAAAAGTTCTTAAATATTTGTGTGGGATTTCTTAAAATAAAAAGGCATGTATCAAACTCATTTGTTTCATCCAACAATAAAAAGTGTCATCCAAACAGTCATTCAAGAACTCATTAAAGATTCAAGTCTCTTCGTGATTACCTTGCAAAAATATTTTAGATCCATACCATGATTATTTGAATTCATACAAAAGCCATTTCATTATGTGGAAATAAAGTATGGATCTTTTTGTCATGGCAAGCTTCAAACTTGAAGTTTCATTCGAAATGTTATTCAAGTATCGATAAAATCTTATCCAAATTCATTCAAAGTGCAATTAGAGTATGGAAGCATCATTCATTTATCATCCATCAAAATTAGGGATCTATTCCCATTTCTTCCATCAATGTTTGTTCCAGGGACTTAAGCTAAGTATTCAAAATAGCGTGGATACTACGTGGAAATCATTTGAAAATAAATAAAATGGGTAGAAAGGTTCATGCTTTGGTGTTTGGAAATTCGCTTCTTTCGTTCTACTCTATCTTTGGTGAAACGGAAACTGCAAAGTTTTTGTTTGATAAAATTCCTGTGAGGGACTTAACTTCTTGGAACACTGATATCTGGGTATGTTAAGAATAATCAATCAGGGAATACTTTGGTGGTTTTTGATAGAATGAGAAGATGTATGGTGTTATTGGAGATGGGATTACTTTGCTTTCTCTTTTTGTCTGTTTGAATAACTCAAACTCGAGGGTGGACTGAGGGAAGTCTCGGTTTTTGCAGATCCTGTCATTCAATTATAGGATTCAACAACTGAATTAGTTATAAGATGAATTGTTTGGGCCATCATAAGTATAAGATTAAGAATTTAATTTAACTTCATATGACCCAATATAACATTTAAGTGATATGGTTTCAGAAGTATACACTCTTATTTGAGTATATTTTTTTCACTTTTATGGATATAGTGATATTGATGTGTTTATAAGCAGATAGCTCAGTGTTTCGATAAAACACAGTTTATTAATCTCACATATAGGAAAGCACACAAAAAAATACACACAAGAAGAAATGTTTAGATGTCTAAACATTTCTTCATTATTCAAATATTATTTGCGTAGCACATGTAGGAGCATTATGAAAATCCCAAGCAGTAGATATTATTTCTGGCTGGTGCCATGACCATTCTTCCTGTCAAATTAGGAAGTTAGCCATCAACTTACAAGTCTGTTTCTGAATCCCAAGGGAACAGATGGATTGGCTTAGTTGCCTCAAGAAGAACATCAACAGGAATATTTGGTTCTGATCGCTTTAATGGTGGTATGCCATGATTGTAGTCTTGAGGATCTTCACGGTAATCCTACAATTTGAAGGGAAAGGTTTCAGAGGCAGCAAAGTGATTATTAAACTTAAGACAAAGTTCTAAACATGACAATATGAATTTGGTCCTAAAACATAAGAATTCTAAGTTTCTATACTTATGAACTTCATGCTTTTGGTTGCAAAAACCAAACTTCAAGCTTCCATAACATCTCAAAGTAATCTCCATGCTTGATGCCCTTATGTCTTGAATTTCTTCACCATGTTTTATTTGCATCATCCATGACCAAACTTGCTGTTAAAACCATCTTCAATATACCTTTTCATTCACCATGCCAAGCTGCACCACTGAACCTGCACCACACACATTCATTATCATGATCATAAAATCTAAAAATATAGCATAAAACTAACATGTTCATGCACACATCAAGTCACCCTGTTGTTTCAAGAATACCATGACATCACATCTGCTTGCTAACCTCACTCCACCTTCAATTTATTTTCATAACCGAAAATAAATGATACTAAGAGAAATCCATCTCGGTAATTCACTTCATTAACTTTCCTAACATATTTTTTCTAACCTCTCCTTAACCATAACAAACTAACAGTAATTCCTAACAGTCCTTTTCTAACTCATTCATAGTTATAATCCAAAACCATATCTCAATTAACCAAAACCAATTCCATAACCAGAAAATAGAAACAACCCTGTAACTAACTTAACCAACCCAAAACAGTTACATCATAACTAACATTCAGTAACCAACTGCATAACAAACTCATCCCTAACCAACTAACAGTCCAACAAACCCCTAACCAATTTTCCCAACAAACTCTGCAGAAAATATATAAATAGAGTACACAGCATATGCAAAAGGAGATTGACAGAATAGGGAGATACGATTTCAACACAGAAAAAAGAAATTATTACCTCTCAATCATCTCATTCTGGAACTTGCAGAAGAATCACATCCAAAAAACTACAGAAATTTTATCTTCTTCTCTCATCTTCATCTTCATCTTCATCTTCCAAAACTCCACGGTAAATTCTCTCATATCCATCCCTGTAACCAAACTGCAATACTTGAACCATCATTATCATCACCCTTGCACCTTCAAACTTCGTAAGAACGACACCTATACCTTCATTCTGCATCATCTTCTTGAATTCAAAAAACTGCAAATCAGAACATCAACAATCATCAATACCCGATATCTTTATCAATTAACCTCTATCATCCTTTTACCACAAACCCATACCAGCCACAGCAACGCAAAGAAAAGTAAAAAAAAAAAAAAGATTGAACTAGAAGAAAGAGAATTCGCAGAAACATCAAAAGAAGGTTAAAGAAAAGGGATAAATCATTCACCTGAGTTCATATCGTTGTGGCTTGCTATCTTCACCGCCACGAGTTCCACCGTGAGATCCCAACCGAAGTAAAATCAGAACCGAAGCTGATGAAGTAGAATGAAGCATATGGTTAAGGACGGAGACGGACAAAGTATGGGACGGAGCATCGCGTCTGAGCGATAGGCCGAGCAGCGAACATACGAAGAAGAAGCAAGAAAACAAAGAGAATCGGAGAAGGAGGGTCGGTCTTGACTTGTGGCGGCACCGTTGATGAAGGAAGAAGAAGACGATGGTGAGATAGCCGCGCCGTTCGAGCACCGTTGATGAAGGAAGAAGAGGCATACCATAACCCTAATCCTTTTTCATTTTTCACATATCTTTTCTTTTTAGTTTTAATTGTCTTATTGTTTTATTATTTTTAATTCAAATTGATAATAATTATGACTAAGTAAATGTGAATTGGATTCATTATGTTGGGCCTCTAAGCAATCCACACGTTGCACCTCTCTAAGGTCTAATACCGTATATGTTTGGCGATTTAAAGCTAGTACAACAAAAAGACCACTCTCCTGGCCCATTGCATCATTTTGTAAAGCATCAACTTGTGGACAAAACTCTTGATTGGACTCTGGCTGTTTTGGCCTCTATGCCATTCTTCTACAGCACCCCCCGAATTCAACTTGTACCCCCTCGATCCTTCTAATTTTTCTTTCTTTTTATTTTAGTTTTTTCTTTTAGTTTAATTTTTCTCTATCAATTGATAATAAAAATAATAGAATATTTTAGAATTCTTTAGAATTTCTTTTTAGAATTTCGATTAGAATTTTTTCTATTTTATTTTTCATATTCGATAATCATTTTTATTGCCATTTTCTAGTCAAGATTTTTGTAGCATCGACATAACTCTTGCAATGTGGAATGCTCGGGGTGAATTCTTCAATCACTTGCCCAAGGGAACTTTGATAGAATTTTCTTACCGCTTGCACAATTTTGAAGAGGCAACAGACCTTCTCCGTTCGGTATCGTCACAACCCTATTTTATCCTTCATTTCGGTACTTTATCACAATCCATATGCATGCTAACATTATGTAGAATTCCCTCAAAATTCTAACTTTAGGTCTAACGATGCACGATAACATCAGGTGTAGAAATAGGCTAATTCCCCTTTAACTTTTCTTTCCCTTTTGCATTCGCATTTAAAACAAAAACTTCTTTTTCTTTTCAAAAATTCAAAACACTTTAAAATTATTGATGAGAATCATGCTTTTGCTTAGTACGGGAAATGATAAGCGGGTCTCTTCTCGATCTTATTGTTCTTCATCTCAAGCATAGGTGTGGTTCAATTCTCAAAGACTCCTTTCATGGCTAAGTAGAAAAATGTCTAATATCTCTCTCTTGAGGTCAATCAGTCATCATCTACAACAAAAATACAAAACAAATTCGAACCTTTTTTGTGCGTTCAAGCACCTTTCATAAAAAAAACCTTTTTAGGTAAGGACACGATTAATTTACTTCTGTACCAACGCATAAGTCTCCAAAGGTCGAGCTGCGGCAGAAGGCGGAATTAACTTCGTCCACAAAAAACATCTACAACAAAATATAAACCAACTCAAATCTTTTGTGTGCTCGAGCACCTTTTCTTTTAAACCCTTTTCAGGTAAGGACATGATTAATTTACTTCTGTGCCAACGCATAAGTCTCCAAAGGTCGATCTGCGGCAGAAGGCGGAATTAACTTCGTCCATAAAAAACACAAAACAAACAAAAAAATATGAGCCGAACTACAGTAGATCTGATTCCTCAAAACGGATACGTAGGCATTGGGGTAGGGCTTAAGCGAGCACAATTTTATTTTCCCTACATTCTTTTTCCCCTTTCTTTTGCATGCATTCCTTCCAGTAGCAGTAATAAACAGTAAGCATAGATTAAACACACCCATAAGATAGATAACAAGAGTGGATACCGTAGAGTACTACGGGCGCGTGGGGTGCTGATACCTTCCCCTTGCGTAACAGACTCCCTTACCCGATCTCTCGGTCGCAAAACCGTGACTTCTCCCTTCTCAGGTTTTCTTGATGTTTACCTTTCCCTACATGTGGGATAAAAGACGTTCGATGGCGACTTCATTGTTTGATGATTTTCAGCCGGTTGTTTCAGCTGGCGACTTCACTGTGGAATAGGTCGACCAAATGCTAGTCCATCCCGGAGTCGCTCCTAGCTCTTGTTTTCCTTCCTTAGGGTGTTTATTTTTATGCTTTCAGTTTACTCATTTGTACATGTTTGCATTGCATTTTATGGCTTTCCATATTTGTTATCTATTATGCTGGACTCTGTTCTCTATGTTGGGTGGGGATGCTACTTTTGAGGTAAAAGGCCCAGTACCCAGGCCAGAGTGCACTAGGACACTAGGAATAGAGTGGGGGCATGACGGCTATAGGACGTGGTCCGATTAGTGCAGTCATGTCATATACCACGCTCGGATGAGGTTCAAATGAATTACTATCGGCACCCACGTCTATGGGCAAGCCCATAGCACTTTCAAGCGAACCCGTGATTTTCGAGTTACCATTATCTTACCCTGACCTAGTTTTCACCCGTGAGTGGGGAGGGAATTTCTATCACAGGTACAGATGGTGACTATGTGCAGATGGTTACTCGTGTTCAAATGGTGACTATGCTCAGACAGTGACTACCGGTTCTGATGGCTATATTCTGGATTTCTGTTATGACTTTATGCAGATGCTTTATCTTGTTGGTGACTGTATGGTTCTCAGATTTATTTTCTGAGATCCTGACTTGTTTACCTGGAGGTTCATTCAATCCTTCAATCTTGGTATTCCCAGCATGTTCAGAAATTCTCAACAGTATCCAATGTTCCAGAAGCCTTGATCCCGCACAATGGGAGATCCACAGGGTACTTGGTTCTTATATATGCAGAAGTTATGTCGGACCTCTGATCTGATGATACTCACATGATCCAGAGCAGTGCAGCAACCTTATTCAGGAATGATGGAACCATGATCCTCTTTGATCTCATGCCTTTGCATACATAACATGGCTAACTGCATGCTTAACATACATGTTCTATTATTTCCAAGGAATCACATTTGCAAGTCTTGTGCTAAACTCTTCCATCCCTTACTTGCGTAAAATCAAAATCAAAACACGAAAATTCATTGGAAATGACAGAACATGACATGGCATCCATTCATGCACCCCATGCATATTCATGCATTCATGACAGGTACCCGGAGATTGGGGATTCTTATTCAGACCTGGGGTTCTCTTCAAAGGTTCAACCTGATTTCTCATCGCACATGCTCAGAGATCAGTTATGGAATAACTCTGAGTGGTACATGCAAGCTTTGGCTCATAGTCAGAAACTTCTTCAAGCAAGAAGATAATGGATTAAATACTCAGATAAGCCAGGTCATGGAAACTCTGATGATGATGTCTATTATTTCTTTAAGACATGATATGCTTGGTGATGCATATTATACTGGGGCACCTGGCCAATCGATTGAAGAAGGTATGTCATCCAGAGACCAAGTCCAAGACTGGATCAATTCAGAGACTGTTGTGTTCACATCAAATCTGAAAGGGGATTCTCTCACACACTCGAGCATCAAGACTACAGAAAGTCGTCAGAATCAGCAAGTTCATACGGAGTCAAGTCTCCTCAACAATGGCGATCATTGGTTTCTTTACTGCATTTTCATTTGCATTCTTGCTTGTTTGTTTAAACATCACTTGTATATAGAAACTTGTCTATTTTTGAACGAAAATCTTAATGCAATAAGTATGCTTGTCTTGAAGTGTTCCTTTCATTTTTACTCATCCATTCGTTATCACTCTTTAAGTGTTTTACTTGCATATTGATGCCATATTTCCTAGTCTTATGCTTAGGTAAAGATTCAAAGGAGGATGACAATAATCTGAAAACGCAAAATCTCTGGTTGGTATGCTTTTGAGTAGGACCCTGCTGACGATGTACAGGCCTTGTTTCAATCCCCAAACACCGGAGATATAAGGGAGATAGACCCTCGTCAACCCCTCTGAGCCTTCGAAGCAGGAGTTTCCTTTCTGTTCAGAAAAAACCCTCATTTTAAACTTGGGGCGGGTAGTGTTCAGCTAATCTGTTCAAGCATTCAGAACTCATCAAGAGTGTGCATCCAAGGATACGACAATGGTTATCCATCAAAAGATTGAGAAAAGTCAAAACCACAATGGTTCACCCTCATCTATCAACAACGTGCATCAATTAACAATATCCCAATGGGTATCTCTCGCACATCAGGAGGTCAACAAATGACGATACTAAAGACTCAGGAAGTCACGATCACTTTCGACAAATCAAAAACAACGCAAAGATCAGCGACTTGTTCAAAATGAAAAAATACGGATAAGAAAGAAATAAATATCCCCGCTAAGTCGAAACTTGAAAACGAGTCACTTAGGCAAAAATTGGGGCATCCCGCTGGACTTCCAAATCGAAATTCAAAAGAATTTGTCCAGGCAAAAATTAGGGAAAACAAGAAGGAGATTGAATAAAGCCTAAAAGGCGAGAAAAGGGTTACCAATGAAAATCCTCATGAAAGAACAAAGTCGTGTGATCAGACACCAAAAGCAAAAGGTGAAGTGACTGTCGTGTCCAAGAAACCACAGTGATTCCTCAATCATCGCAAACTCTTCTCGAGAGACGAATGCTTGCATTAGGTCAACTGAACGTAGGAAGGGAGAACATCATGGAGAATGGGTGGGCACCAAATAATTTTGAGCCTTAAATCCTTTTTTCTAAAACCGTGAACCAGGCCACGTTACAACCCATAAAAGTCTTAACTGAAGCATGGGTCAATTCAAAAGCGTGCTACAACGAGATAGCGTTTAACTGACTCCTAAGAGGTACGTCTCAATATCTGTGTTGGCATCATATGCTTGCATTATCTTTCATAAAAAGGAATTTGCAAATGTTTCTCTCTAGCTAGTGACTCGTTCACAACAGAGTTGCGACGCCATTTCATTCAAAGTTGTTCAAACTTCAAGACTTACATATGTGTTGCATTAGAATTATCATTCTCATAATAAACATTCTTCTGCATACAAAACAACTGATCGACATCAAGTAA